CTCGAAAAAATGGTAAGTTTGAAACAGATTTTTAAGTTTCAGGTAAACCATCTTAAAATATTACATTAATTCAAAATTATATTATTAAAAATTTATTTCTTTTCATTTAAAATAAGGCATTGGAAAATGACAGGAACCGTATCTTTTAGATAGTGTCCTGCGGCGTGTCAGAAATGCATTGACCAACGTGGCGTATACTCGATATTTCAGCACTTTGCTGACTTCTATTGGCTCCCAGGCTCATAAATATACACATATTTATACGTATATCCCAATTTTTTTTTCGGCCCAACTTGCAGTCGAAGCAATAAATCATCATCAATGACAAGGGGACGTTACAAGCGGCTCCTGGTTCGGCGACAGGACACTCCGCCCACAAGAAGAGAGAGAGCGGGCGCTAAAAGTGAAAACACAAAACATATAAACTTTAATGGCGCCATTACTCCTTTTTTTCTCAACGTGTACGAAGGGCAAGCTTATTGCCACCTAAGACGCTACCACCTACCAAAGTTTCCGGACTTTCCGGTAGCTGCCCGTCTGTCCGTGTGTCCGCCGTCCGTCTGTGTGTCTAAGTGTCCGCGTGTCCGTCCGCATCCTTCGCTGTGTCCTTTTTGATGGCTCTGAGACAGAGCAGCTTGCCAAACATTATGGCCAGAGTCGTTAAGCTTCTCCGGCGTTACTTTGTTACCGTTTTACGTGCCACACACGACGACCTCCTGGCCTCCAGGATGCAGGACCTTGCCGCGACTATATGCGTCTAAACGTCCTGTGAGTTAGGAGTTAGGACCCAGTGGGAAATTATGATTGTCGGGCGCGGATTGCACATAATTTTATTAGCCGTTTGGGTTAAACATCACACCTCTTGTATATGGCACAAAATAAACATCAACTTTGGATGTATTTTCATAAAAAATAGGCATTAAAAAAAGAGAAAACATTTAAAAATAATTCTGAAGAAAAATTGTAATATTCTTAATTATAAATATTTTCTTTTCATTTTTTTCTTGGTCGGAAATCTGGCCATAAATGGGCTGCATTATCTGCATTGCTTACTCAGCAGAGTAGAAGTCCTGTACGCGTGTCCTCTGGAATCCTGAGATTTCTGGCATCTGTTGATTAATTTGTGGAATATTCATCCGGTTTTTCGTTTCCTTTAGTCGTGTCCTGGATCAGATATCCTTTTGCCGCATATTTCCATTGCCCGTGGAGCCGGCACCTGGCTATGTTTTTGCATTCGACAGCGACAGTCAAAGCGAATGCCACTCCGTAAGGAGCGCCAGGACATGGCCAAAGAACATCAAGTGGCAGCAAAGTGAGGCTAAGAAGAGGAGAGGGGGTCAGGGAAGGGGGTTGGCCAGGATTTATAGTTATCTAGGAGGAAAGCCAACAATGGTCAACGCGACTTCCTTTCACCAGCGATTCTTGGACAATTTCTCTGACATATAGTTCTCTTGGAATTATTGTTATTAGATTTATTTGAAAAGTATAAAATAAATTAAATATCATACTTATCATTTACTTTTTAAATATATTAAAATATTAAATAAAGTTTGTAAAAATTACTTTAAATTTCTAAAGACTTGTGTTTCATAAAACGTTTTATGATTTTTGTTTAAAAGAAAAGTTAGAAAAGGACATTTCTTTTATCTTCTCTCTGAGTAATCTAAACAAATATTATTATTTCTAAGCCTGTAATTCAATCTTAAAGATTAAAAAATAATTTTTAACCCTTTAATTTCTTGTTATATTTAACTTATATTTAACAATTAGTACTTCAAAGAGTATTAAAAAATAGTTACCTCCCAGTCCTATCCCCTTTTATTGTTATTATTTTCTTTTGTTGTGACTTTCTTCTCCTTTGCGTTCAGAGGAGACAACAGCAGGATATTTCCAGGACCTGCATTCGCATTCGGTGGCCGCCCAGGACAGGTGCGTGGAAAGGGCAGATGGGGGGCAGGCCGGGGGGATTATTTATAGCTCGCTAATTGAGTCAACGGCATTTCAAATTTTCCGCCCCGGAAGTGAAAAACCTTTTTTTTTCCTTTCTTGTGTTTTTTGTTTTGTTTTTTGCAAGTGCCCCTGAAAAGTTGTCAAAACATTTTATATTTTTGTATTTATTATGTTTTATTGTTTCTTATTTTTATTTTTTAATATTTTTTGTTTATGTTTATGCTGGTGTACATTTTATTTATGGCGAATCCTGGCAGGATGAGCGGACTCAGAGACACATCTGTCAAATAATATTTTATTTCGTTTTGTTTTTTGGGAGTTTTTTGGGAGTCGAGCTTGCCACTTGCCTCCTTGCTTTCCCAGGGTGTGTGCGTGTGTAATAAATCATTTGCCCCAAAACCAAGGACCAAGGACGAAGGACATTTCAATTCCAGTTCTCCATTGTTTTTCTTGTTTTGTTGTGTTACCAAAATCTGCTCAGGGGCCAACTTACAGGACTCTAAATGGAAAAGGGAAGGGGCCGAGATAAATAAATTCAATTTTTGGCAATATTAAGCAGAAATTGCTTAGAGCCGGAGGCGTGGCTTGCCAGGACGAAGGAGCAGGAGGGGGATTTCCAATGAAATTAGAAATCCAAAACCGAAAACCCTAAAATTCAATCAAAAAATTCAAGTTCCGATCACTTTTCCAGCTTCGGGACGAAACTTTTAAAATGTTTTCTAATTTTTGAGTACGTAATAAATTGAAGCATATTTACATGCCACAATACCTGCCACAAATGGGGGCATTTGAGTAGCCAATAATTAAATTATAAAAAGGTCAAAGTTGAACTCTTTGTGGCACGCAAAACTTGGCACTTTGTAAAATCTGCTTAAACTTTTAATGGCAAGTGGCAAGTGGTTAGTGGCGAGTGGCAAGTGGCAAGTGGCGAGTGGTGGCATGTGTGTTCATTTTGTGGCCAACACTTCATAAGGGCAACTGTAAATTGGCATCTAATTGAATTACCAAAAATATTCCAGCTTAGTCTCGTCTAAATTTAGCCAAAACATTGCACCCCAACATGCCACATGCCACATGCCTCATGCAACATAACTATAACAATTAGTGGGTAATTAAATTTGTCACGGCAAATTCCAGTTTCCAGGACTGATTTTGCATTTGCTTTGTGACCTCGAAAGTGCATTTGCTGTGCCCTGTGGCAAGGATGGCCAGGATGCCAGGGGATGTTGCAAGGATGGGTGGGCGGCAGGTAAGCAGAAACGGAGTGTATCCAATCATGCCGCTCAGTGTGGCGTGTACTTAAGACTTTTGCATCCAGCCACCTCTTGCACATCCTTGTCCCGAGTCCTGCTCGAGTTCTGCTCGAGTCCTGCTCTCGTCCTGGGCGTCCATCATCAATCACGGTTCGAACAGGAAATCGTTACAAAGGCTGTCAGTGGCAGCCCCCCAGGGGGGCTTCTGGGTGCCGCAGGGGCTTCTGGCAGAAATCGGTAAACGAATCCTAGAGCTTGGAGCTCCTGGAATCATGAAACTATGCAGTGCGATAGTGACTGCTATCTGCTTTAGGTATTTCCCCAGACACACTGAGGGAAATTTGTTTTTTTTTAAATTATATAGAATATTAATAGTTTAGAGTTTATATTAAAAAAAAATGTGTGGTTATTGCACTAAAACAAACTTTACTAGGATGAATATTAAATAGATTTTTCAAGACTTCAAATAATAATATCTAACAAAAAAACAAACTAATATACTATGTTTTTAATAGAACTCATATATAAAGTAATGATATTTAAAACTTAAAAGAAAACAACAGGTTTATATTTGAAAAAGTCTTTTATTTTTATAATCTGTATAAAATAATCTAAGCATATCTATACAATAACTTACTAATATCTATAATAATATCTTAAAAGTAATAGTATATTTTATTAATAAACCTAAATACTTATCTACTATTATTTGCCCCTTTTTTTCTCCCAGTGCACACTCAGCCTTTTATTAAGAGCTAAGAAAAAAGCCAAGTTTGAAAAGTCGCATCATGACGATGGCGGGCAGGACGAAGTGCGCTGTTTGGGCATCCTGTCTCTATATTTAACTTAACGGCGTCCTTCGCATCCCAGCCGTCTTCCAGGTCCTTTGTGCCTCGCCCCCTGTTTTTCTTGATGTGGCACTTGTTGGTGCTGTTGTTGTTGCCCGGATTACTTGGCTCGTTATAAAAATAAAACAAATTGAAGCAGCAAATGCAACACGACAGGCGACAGACGGACATGGGCCGGAGCATGGGCGTTGAGGGGGTGACGTGTGACATAAAATGGAGGGTCACAGGCTACACTTAGTGGGCTGTGGGTGCTATTTTTTGGGAAAAAATACTTTTTGGTTTTATTTGATTTATATCTTAAATTTGAAACTTTTTAGAATTAATTCTTCTATGTGTATTTTTACTAGTTTATTCAAAAAATGTGTAATTCAATATCTGGTCTGTATGAACATCAAAAATTATCTTTAAAATTAAATAAAATTGACAAGCTCTGGACATCAAAAATTCTGGTAAAAGGAAGGTATTAATTTCAGTTTTTGTTAACCAACTTGTCACACAAGTTGACTTTGTAAATGAAGTCCTTTATTTTGAGCCATCAGGGTTTCATTTCAATCTCTTTTCAATAAAAATGCAAGAGTTTCCTCACAAAGGTTGCAAATAAAGTTTGCTTTGGAAAGCAATATGGCAGGAAAACCCAATAGTCCTTAGAAAGTAAGGTGAATTTTAAAAGGTTTTTATCCCTATTTTCAGCAGTGTCCGTTTCTTGATTACTAGAATGTAACTACACGGTATTTAAAGTTTGAAAATATCAGTTTATTAATTTTAATAATTTAATAAAATCAATTTTATTGAAACATTTTAAAATAGACATAAAATACAAATCCATATATATTTCTTTAAAATGATATATCCTTTTTTCTTCAACTGTCTGTTCCAACTCCCTCTGCACAGCATTCGTCCTGTCTCCTCCTTTGATCCCTTGGCTCCTTTCTCCTTGAGTCCTCCTCTCCTATGCATTAAAAGAACGCAACATCATGATGTACGACATGGCAGAGCGGACAATCTAAGTGAAAAAAATGACAGAAAAAGGATACACAGGATTATCCTCATACTTTGTAGGAAAGCTGCTGTAAAAACTATATTAATTGGCTATCAATGGCACATCATTAATGCTATTGAATGTATATTTTTAGTTCCTAAATTGGTATTTTGTTTCAAGTTGAATAGAGCTCGTTTCGAGGGCACTCACCGCCGAAAAAGTCGCCATGCTGGCCTCGAAGAAGTATCCCTTCATCTGGCAGGGTCGCTGGGCGCGCATACCGGCGATGAGGAGCGCCCTCTTAGTGGGCGGGGCAAAGTCCGTCCAGCGACTCTCGTAGATGCCATTGCCAAAGTCCAGGCTGGCACTCTTGATATTCTCGCCGCACTTGGAGTAGATGAAGAGAGCGATCAGGAGCGATCCCACGAAGGCGATGAAGTAGAGACTCTGGGGCTTGGGGAACAGATCCGCCACCTGGAAACCGATGAAGCAGATCTGCAGGGCGGACAAGAAGAACTGCAGGAAGATGAGAGGACGATACTGGTCGGCAATGTGGTCGGCGATCTGAAGGCCCTTCTGGTGGAGGAGCAGGATCTGGACGAGGCCCTCCAGCTCCTCAGCCCCACCCACCGCCGGCAGGTGAATCATTCGGTGTTTGGCAATCTTGAAGATGGCACACACGTTGTAGGTGAAAAAGAACAGCAGAGTGTCCACGCAGAGGGCCATGGTGACCTGTAAAAATTCAAGACTTATTGAGAAGGAAAAACATAATTGTACTTAAATTGTAATTCAGTTTTCCCTGATACTGCCAACCAATAAGCCATTAAAATTTAATCTTTAACAGCCAGAGTCCTTGAAGAAAATTGCTTTCCTTAAGGCTACCATTTTAATGGGCAGTAAAAAAAAGAAAATAAATAAGGACTCCCTTGAATCCTTCTATAAAAATAACACCTCACTTTTAACTATTTGAGAAAAACCAGCAATACCCCTAGGAAAAAATTCGAAAAATTTCAAAAAAATATTTCAGCAATGTTTTGAATGAGAAAAGTCCCTTCTGGGTTCGCTGATTACTAAATGGTACTTCGTTTCCTGATCGGATAAGAATTGGCAGAGCTATAGCCATCGGAAGGAGCAAAAGTGGGGAAATCGCGAAAACCCACATTTTTGTAGGGGTACCCCTAGGAAAAAATTCGAAAAATTTCAAAACGATATTTCAGCAATGTTTTGAATGAGGAAAGTCCCTTCTGGGTTCGCTGATTACTGAATGGTACTTCGTTTCCTGATCGGATAAGAATTGGTAGAGCTATAGCCATCGGAAGGAGCAAAAGTGGGGAAATCGCGAAAACCCACATTTTTGTAGGGGTACCCCTAGGAAAAAATTCAAAAAAATTTCAAAACGATATTTCAGCAATGTTTTGAATGAGGAAAGTCCCTTATGGGTTTGCTGATTACTAAATGGTACTTCGTTTCCTGATCGGATAAGAATTGGTAGAGCTATAGCCATCGGAAGGCGCAAAAGTGGGAAAATTAGGGAAACCCCCTTTTTTATGGGTTTACTTAATAGAACTAACCACTCACCGCACTATAACTGGCCATAACATTCCATAGATAGGTGGGAACATAATACATAACCACCTGCAGGTCCCAGGGGTATACCCCGTTGTGGGGCAGCTCCAGGTGGACCTTGGTCTGGCCCGATCTGCCACGGATGAGAGCCACCACAATGGCTACGAACGGCTTGATGGCTGCAAAGACTCCGGCCAGACCAAAGCAACGGGTGTAGGTCAGGCTAAGGAGCTGGTCACTCTCGTTTTCCATGTCCACTATTTCCCGGGCGGCCGGCCACTCGGAGATCTCTGGGGGAGTGTGTTCAGTTCCTGTTAAAGTACCTGGTGTCATTTTTGGCTCACCCTTCTCTAAAATACTTCGAATCCGGTAAATCAGACCGACAAACTGCTTCCGGTAATAGACAAAAAGTAGGAACTTGATCAGGGTCAGCATGCTGGCGAATGTGGAGCCCAGGGTGTCCGACAGTAGGCTGACCTCGGTGATGTACTTGTGGGCGGCCAGGAACATCGGCAGCATAAAGACGAACAGTGGACCCATCGTCACCACCGTGAGAAGCCGTCGGTCATTGGCGCTGGTGGGACTCCACAGGTCTATGCCCATGCAGCGGTAAACTAGGATCTGGATACGCAACGACTTGTCCTGCTCCTCGACCTGGTCTGGCTCCTGCTCCTTTTTCTCTTGTTTTTTGTAGACTTTGTCACTCATCTTAGGAGAGGTTAAGTATCTGATAAATTCCTGGCAATTTATGGGCTTTTTTATACAAAAAATCAAAGGGCGTGCCGGTTTTCTAAGATATCCTTGATAATTATAAATTAATGGGGTATATTGGACTTATCAGCATCGATAGATAATGGAGCCCTCTTGTAGCCCCTTAGAAGATTAGGAAAAGGTATCATTAAGTCCATAAGCCCCATTGTCCTTTACAGAGGATTTGGCACTGCTTTCATTTAATATGCTCTCCTTCCTGGGCTGTAAGTAAGGGGCGTGAATTTCAAGTGCATTCATGGCACTAATTACACGATTTTTTTCTCTTTTCTGTTTTTTTTATTTGCATTTCCCTTTCACTTTTTTTTATGAATGTCGGTTCTTCCCCTTTCTTGACATTCAAATGGCAGACTTCAGTTCCCAGGAAGTGCATTATAATTTTAATGAGTCTGTGGAGATTTAGTCCAAGTCCTAAAACGGTCAAGGGGTTGGCAGAACCGACTGGGGGTAGATAATTATTTTTAGACCCACAATTAGATGCGATTTGACAAAGCTGCCGTTGACATTTGACAAAGGACCTGTAATTTGGCATACCGACCCAGTGCACCGAATTGCTAATTGGTGAATAATATACATATATTTGTGGCCACAGCTTAAACTTAAATTTCAAGCCAATTTTCTTCAATTTAATACTCGAGTATTCACTTTCAAGATAGTTAAATAAATTGTGTGGCTTGCTAAAATCTGTTAAATATTGAAATATTTAAAACGTTATTTTCTGTGCATATATTTGACAAAATTAAATAAATTTCTTTGAAATTTATTAAGAGTCTTCATATAATATTTAAAAGTAAAAGAAAACTTCAGGAAAAGCTTTGTCCAAACTTAACCCAATTATTTTAAACTTTCGCGCCCTAAAAATACCAAATATTTAAAAGTGTTGTGTAAAACATCACAGTTACCCTTGTGGCATATTTTAAATTACAGACCATTATCCAAACCGAATGCAAAACACAACTTAATATTAAAAATTTATAATATATTTTTATCTTTTCGCCGTGATTTCTTTCATGCATTTTCCAAAACTTTCGTTTATAGGCATTTTACAATACTGCCACCACTTTCGTTATCCAACACCGTGCACAGTTGTATAACCTCTGTCAGAAATATTTTCCATTCGCAACTTAAGCTCTACAAATAAACCCAACAAGTACGTAGACTGGAGACCAGAACAGCACATTAACTAACTTAACATCTATACTAATTTACAGTAATGGCTGGCGAAGGCGAGAAACTGACCGGCCTGTCGAAAATCTTCAATGGCACCACCATGGCCGGCCGTGCTAACGTGAGTAGCGGAGGCTTACTGCCTTTTTCCATGCCTTTGGAGCTAGAAATATGCTAATCCGGATATCCCGTATCCTTATATTACAGGTGGCCAAGGCCACATACGCCGTGATGGGACTGCTCATCGCCTACCAGGTCCTGAAGCCCAAGAAGAAGTAGAGCTCTCCACCCCGCATCTTTCACAGATCCGTACAGCGCTGCCGGATTTCGGTTTTTGTCCGGATCACACGTTGCTCTGTTAAGCGAGCCGTTTATATTTAATGTGTAGTGCAAGACCTTGAAGGAATAAATAAGTTGAAAATGTAACACACTGAACCCAAGCGCATTATGTAACCGATCCTTGAAAGAAATGGTGCATCGATGGAGATAATATTAAAGGGAGTCCAGGGAGTTAGTTACAGGAATGTTAGATGATCAAGCTGGAAAGGAGATGTCTTTGAAGCCGGTGTACTTGGCCACATATGTGGTTTCCTATAAGTTTCCTCTAAGCCTCTTTTCTTCAAGATTCAAGACCCAAAAGAAATGCCATCTGTATTGTCAGAATAGTCTTCTTTATCCCATTTCTAAGGAGCTTTAGAGAATACCAAAACTTTTTTCTTTTGGAAAGATCTATAAATATTCATAAAACCTCTATAATTCTTTAAAAATGTCAAGCATAAGAAGATTTAGACTCGATTCTTTTCCCCAAGTATTCCAAATCTAAAGATCATACAATACTTCCTAAATCCTTACAAAAGGACCAACAATAATCCAAGAAACAAACCTCAAGAGATGAAGAAACTTCTGCTCGATTCCTTTTTTGGTTTCTTTTTTTTAAATATTTTATTTAAAGTTTTTATTTCATTTCAAACTTGCTTTTAAATTTCCTCCTTTTCGTGGGTTTTTGGGGAATTTTGGTTTGAGGGGGGGGCGGGGTCTTCGGAGCATTGGCTGCCCCTATTTTTTTGTGTTTTAGTTTTTCTCTTTTTTTTTTTTTGTTTTAAATTTCAGTATTACTAAAAATTAATTTGAATGAATTGAATGTAAAAATGGTTTACATACATATACTTGTATTCATATATATGCCATATAATCTTCTCCCATCTCCGCCTCCTACTATCTCCACCACCACCTGTTCCCGTTTCCATCAACTCTCCGATCCTGCTCCTTCCATCCGATCCTGACCAACACCATTATCTTTTTGTTTTTTTGATTTTGTTTCCTCGTTGGCATTATTCTCATACTACTCATACTCAGTGGAGACGAAAAACCAGGTGATGCGTTTAAAATATAGGTATAAATTAATGTTTATATCATTTATCAATTATAATATATGCTATATAATATACCTTTTACATGTATTGTGTGATAGCAAGCTTGCTTTTTACTTTTTTTACTTTACTCATCATTTCAGTAATTTGTGTTTTTTTTGCTTGTTACTTTTTAATTGTTTTTCTTGTTTTTTTATAACTAAACATTGCCTGGCATAGCAAACATCCCACAATAGTTAAGATTACTAGATGTGGGAGTGGCTGGGGGCGTGTGTATATGTGTCTGTGTGTGTTTGGGAGACAGTGTGTGTGTGTGTGGGTGTACTAATTAATATCGCTCGCTATATGCATTTGAAATCATTTTTTGGGGATTTTTTTTAGAGCAGCAGAGCAACCTAGCGAAACGTGCCTTGCCATTATTTTTCTTTTTCGTTTACAGTTGCATTTAGCATTTGTTAATTCATCTTTTTATTAATTCTACTACATTTAGTCGCACGGATATCCGGGGCAGAGGGCGGGGCTGGTTAGGGTCCAGGGGGTCGGGTCAGAGAGGAGCTCCTCGACCCACCGATCCACCGGAATCCGATCCGTTTTTTTGTTTTTGTTTGCGGGTCACGGGTATATTCGTATTAATTACTGGTATATATGTGTGTCTCTTTGTTTTATTCGTTAAAAATGTTTGCTGGAGTGTTTGTTTGTTGTTGCTTGGATTTTGCCTCTATATGTATATATATTTATGTAAGTTTCTCTGTTCGTCTGTGTATGTGTGTGTGTGTGTGTGTGTGGTGTTATTTATGTAGTATATGCCATACATATCATATCCTTGTTAAGTTACAGTTACATAATGAATTACACATTTATATAAGTTGTTTAAATTTCATTTTGTTTCTTTTTCGCCACCCCCGTCCGTTACTTTACCATTCTACCTTGAGCATAAACCATCTTCTCATTTGCATTATCCTTTCATTTCTTTTTTCTTTGTCATATAGCATAGAGCGCCAAAACCTAATTTCAAAATAACAGATCTGGAGGATCAGATCTTCATTTCCGGCAACGACCCGGGGTGGCAGCACTGGCTAGCGGTGGCGGCGTTGCCACCCATGTGCGATTGCGCTGAACACTTTTCTTTCAAATTTAAGCTTGGGACCGTTGAATAGACTTCGTTTTTGTTTTGTTGTCAGTTTAGTTTTATCTGGGAAATCGGGGGATTAGTTCACTATAGAGCCCGCCGAGTACAATTTGTGACGCACGTATTTCAGATGGTTTCAGTTTATAAAACAAGCTTCGTACATATTTCTTTCTTCCTTTGAACTTAAGTTTGCGCTTAAAAAAAAAAATATAAACTCGTTTCTTCTTTCCACTTTACTTTCTTTTCCTCTCTATTTCTGCCTGTCTCGCTATCTCTCTCGTTTTCGGTTTCGCTTCTGATGTCGCGACAAATAGAATCGAATATTGATGGATAAAGATAGTTATAGATTTTATATATATAATGTATATTGTAGCATAAACATAAATTAAAATTATTAGTTGATTTTTCTTGGTTGCAAAAAAATTAAACAATATTCTTTTTTTTGTTTTTTGTTTATATATATATAAAGAAATTAAAGCATACGCAGTGCCAAAGGTTTTTCTTTCGATTGTTTTTGTTTGTTTTTCTTTTTTTGTTGTTTTTGCTTTTTTAAGGGGGAGAGACTCTACTACAAAAAATAATAAGTTTATAAAGTATAATATAATATTATGTAAATTTGTTTGACAAAAAATACACTCTGCTATTTTATGTAAGTATGTATGTATATATATGTAAATGTATGCATGTATGTATGTAGTGTGTGTGTGTTGGTGTTTGTTGTGTGTGTGTGTGTGAGTGTGTGTGGTGTGTGTGTTGGTGTTCTTATTTTTTTGTAGTTTTATTTTTTTAATGTTTGTTGTTAAATATTTTATTCTTGCTTGCAATTTAGTTCCTTACTCGTTTTCTTTCGTTACTCTTCTCTCTCTCTCTCTCTGTCACTTTCCAATTGCATTTGCTTTTTGCTTTTTCTATGCTTTTTGCTTTTGCATTTGCATTTGCTTTTTGCTTTTTTATGATTTTGCTTTTGCTGTTTCCTGTTTTTTAATGTTTTTTTTTTGTTGTGGCTGTGATTTTTTTTAATATATATATTTTTTTTTGTTTTTTTTGGGGAGGACTCCTTAGTCACTCGCTCCTTCCTACTTGCAACATAATTATCAATTTTTGCAATTCGAATGTTTTCTCTTTTTTCGTTTTCGATTGTTATTCTCCTCTCTCTCTTTTGCATTTGCTAGTTTCTTTCTTTCCGGTTCTTGTTGTTTTTGTAATTCTTTATCCAAATCCATTGTTGTTGTTGTTGTTGTAAGGTTGACCTTCCATCTGCATTCCATCCGGGGGGCAGTAGGAGACGGTGGCTCAGTTCGCATGCCACTCGCCACGATTGCCACCGCCACCGGCTCCGGTGGCATTATTGGAGTAGTAGGGCTTGCCCGGTCCGGAACCTGCTGCTCCGCCCGCTCCACCGCCACCAGCTCCGCCGGGTCCGCCATTGCCGCCCGGTCCGCCGCCGTTGTTGCCACCGGGTGGTCCCACTGGAGCGTTTCCATTGCCACCGGCACTGCCGGCCACGCCCACCTGGGAGCCAGAGCCACCGGCACCGCCGGCACCACCGCCACCCGTCACCTGACGCATATTCTGGACGCGCTGGGCCGCCGCTGCTGCGGCCGCTGCCTGGTCGCGCTGCTGTTGCTGCTGCGGATGCTGGGGGTAGTTGTTGGGTCGCTGGATGGGTGTCGGATAGCGGCCCTGGCCGCCACCGCTCTGTCCCACGCTGCCGACACCGTTGCCGCCTCCATTGCCGCCCACAACGACGCCGACACCGAGGGCATTCAGGTTCGTGCCGTTGCCGCCGGTGCCGCCCTGGCGCTGCTGCTGTTGCTGAGATTGCTGCTGCTGCTGCTGTTGCAGCACCTGATTCTGCAGATCCCACTGAAAAGGATGGTAAGGTTCAGTACCAGGATCGGGAAAGCAGACCGGACCGGAAAGCGGGGGGACACTTACTGCGCCGTAGTTCTTGTGGTGCGGCGGACTGGGCTGTGACTGCACCTGCTTGGCCAGGCCGAGGCTCATGTCGGCGCTGAGAGGACTCTTCAGCTGTCGGCCCATCTGCGAAAGGGACAAATACCAAAAGGGTTAAGTATTTTTTTTTTTTAGTATTTTTTCAAAACTATTCCCCAAAAAACAAAAAATTAATTCAAAACTACCAATGTGTGTTTTTGATTTTAAAAAAATGAACTTTTCAAGTTTTTAATTCTTTAATGATTAATAATCTTTTAATTCTTTTAATTTGTAATTTTTAATTTAAATTTTAATTTCATCATCCCACAATAAAAAATAATGAATCTTTTGTTTATTGTTTAATGTTTATTTAAGAGTATGCTTGACACAAAATTTCTAAAATTTTGCTTAATTGTTTTTTTTTTTTTTAATATTTTGACAATGTAGTGGAAAGCGAGATTAACATTTAGTGAATTAATTAATTGGAAATTAATGAATTAATCCATTTTTAGCTTTTAATTAGTTAGAGCAGTGTATGTTTAGTTAGTGGCTAATTAATTCAAAAAGATTTTTCTGATGTGGGAACCAAAGAGAAAGTCCTTTCTTTTTTCAAAAAAAAAAAAAAAAAACACACATATATATATAGAAGATATATCCTTGAGATCCAGAGATCCCTCCAGATAATCTCCAAAATAAGAACAACATTAGTGGCATTAGAATTTGTGAGAGAGCCTGGCGGCAAATCCGGGCCCATTTCTTACCGAGTCCTGCATGTGTCCCTGGCCCTGGCTGCCCTTGAGGTAGGCCGCTCCGGGCGTCGGTCCGCCACGGTACTGATTCATATTGGCCGCCGTCAGGTTCAAGAACTGCGTATTGAAGCTGCCCATCGTGTGCTGGGTCTGCGGCGGTCCTGGCGGTCCATTCGATCCCGGCGGTCCGCCCTGATGCCCACCATACAGCCCATAGCTCTGGGCTCCGCCATTGCCCTGCGGCGGCGGGCCACCATAGAACTGGGGTCCGCTCGGTCCGCCCGGCGCCGAATTCGAGTAATAGCTGTTCGATTGCAGCTGATGGGCGCCCGGCGGTGGTCCGCCCTGGCCGGGATGCTGGGGCGGCGGCGGACCGGCATAAAGATTCATGTACTGCTGTGTGGTGGCATATGGTCCCGGTCCGGGTCCGGGTCCTGGTCCGCCCGGCCCGCCAGGTCCGCCCGGACCACCGGGTCCGCCGCCACTGCCCGCCGACTTGGAGCCTATGGCGCCGATCGGTTGCTGGCTGGGCGGCGGCTTGGCCGCGCCCGATGACATCATGGAGTTGCTGCTGGACGAGATGATGGCCACGGCGGCGTGGCTGCTCGGATTGCTCAGTTGCTGGGAGCTGGGCTGGCCGAAGGGGCCGGGTCCCACGCCCACGCCTCCGCCCAGCCGGAACTGGGTCGAGAGGCTGGAGTACATGTCGGGTGTGGGCGCTGTGGGCGGTAGGCTGCCGCCGTGCGGCGTCTGCATTGCGTACGCGTTCACGTTGACGTTGAAGGGTCCACCGCCGGCTGCTGCCGCCGCCGCTGCTGCGGCCGCATAATGGCCCGGGAAGCTGTGGGCGGCCGCCGCCGCTGCCGAGTATGCAGCGGGCGAGCGGCTCGAATGATCGAGCGAATGGAATGAAGCGTACAGATTGCCGCCCTGCGACGGCGGCGGTGGCATCTGCGACGAATTGAACACTACGGCCGGCGGGCTGGGGATCGTGGGAATGCCTCCGACGCCGAACTGCGGCGATGCTTGGTAGAATGACGGCTGTTGTTGTTGTTGCTGCTGCTGCTGCTGCTGCTGGTGTTGTTGTTGCTGCTGATGGGCCTGTTGCTGATGGGCCTGCTGCTGTTGTTGTTGCTGCTGCTGGGAGTGCTGCTGCTGCTGGCTGGGCGGTGGCGACATGCCCAGATGCTGTTGTTGCTGCTGCAGCTGCTTGGCCTTCTGATGGGCCTGCTGCTGCTGTTGCTGCGGACTAGGATAGTCCTCCTGCTGGAACTGTTGCTCCAGGGAGCCGGCATCGAACGGGGATCCATGACCGTAGCCATGCACCGGACCCGGCGACGACAGAGCATGATGCTGGTGGTGGACCTGCTGCTGCTGCTGCTGGTGGTGCTGCGCCTGCGCCGCCGCCACCGCTGCCGCCTGCTGTTGCTGGTGGTGGTGGCTCTGCATGTGCACCGCCGACACAGCGTAATGGGCCTGCTGTTGCTGCTGCTGCGAGTGCTGCTGCTGTTGCTGCTGCTGGTGCTGCTGCTGCGAGGCGGCCACCGCTGCGGCCACGAACGAGGCGGCGCTCATATGACCGCTGGCATCGTCACCGCCCTGCTGGGAACCGACCACTCCCTGGACCTGCGCCTGCTGCTGCTGTTGCTGGGCCACCACCTGTGCCTGGGACTGCTGCTGCTGCGGCGTCTGCTGCGACTGCTGCTGACCCGACGACGGCCCGTCCGACATGGGCGTGGCCGACTCCCACACCTTCTTCACGCTGGCTATCTTCATGTTGAGATCCGCCGTCGAGTTGTTCTGCTGCTGCTGCTGGGAGTGCTGCTGTTGCTGTTGTTGTTGTTGTGCCTGCTGCTGCGCTGCCGCCTGCTGCTGCTGCTGCTGGGCGGAGGTCTTCTCGATGGGGTCCACCACCTTGAGAGGCGTGGTGGGACCGTCGCCAAAGCTGAAGCCCAGCTTCAGGTCTTGCGCATCCTCGCCGCCGGGTACCGACACAGTCGACGCCTTGCCGCCGAAACTCATCTGGGAGAGGGCGCTCGACAGGCTGTCCACGCTGCTGGCACCCGGACCCACTCCTGGTCCGCTGCTTGGTCCCGATCCGGGTGCGGTGGCTCCCACGGGCTTTGCCACAACGGCCGCGGCCGCCGCCTGCTGCTGTTGCTGCTTGTACGTTGAGTTCTCGAATATGATGGTGTTGACGGGCGCACCGGCGTCCAGGAGGAGATTGGCGGTTGAGGGGCCGGAACCGACGGCTCCCAGGGCCGACTTCTCGCCGATGGCCGGCAGCTTGCCGCCCGGCGCCTTCTCGCCGCCCACCACCGAGCTGGTGGGGTCGCCCTTCTTCTTGGGATCTGCCTGGCCGGAAACTGCGGCCGCAGTGGAGGAGGCGGATACGGAGCCAGTCGCAAGGCCTGGTGGCAGGCGGGCCGGCGAGTCCTTCAGCGCCTCGTCCTTGGCCAGCAGGGCAGTGTTGTGGCCGGCAGTCTTGTCCTTCTCCTCGCCGCCCAGGGCCGAGGAGTCCTTATCATCCTTGGGTGTGGTTTTGTGCAAGCCGGCGCTCAGTGCCAGCTGGTTCTGCTTGGTCTTGTCCAGATCCGCTTCCGACTCGGAGCTGCGCTGCAGCTTGCCGTACTCCTCGTATCCCAGTCTTCCGAAGCCGCGTCCCGGTCCAGCTCCGCCTGCTCCTCCGCCCGTCGAGCCAGTGCCTACGGGCTGGCGTCGGAATCCGGCAGCCGAACTGCCTGCTCCGCCGCCGCTGGAGAGGCCGCCGCGTCCACGTCGCGAGGGTTCACCGCGCGGCGAGAAGCCAGCCTTATTGACCGCCGCCGCCGTCTGCGCCGAGTTGGGAGCACTGCCGCCCGCCTCCTTGGGGCTGCGACGAGCTGCGCCGCCTCCGCCGCCGCTGCTGCTGTAGCAGTCCTCGTCCACGTCCTCGGAGTGCTCCGACTGCTCGCCGCCGCTGCCGTAATACCGTCGTCCGCTGCCTCGACTGCCCCAGTCACCGCCAGCGTTCCTCTGGCCGCGGTAGCTGTTGCCCGCGCCTGCTCCGCCACTGGCGGCATAGCTGCGTCCGCCACGACCACCGCCCGCTGCTCCGCTCCTGGGACTCGGCCTCTTGCCGGCCGCCTTGTCCTCTTCCTTTGCCTTGGCCTTGTCGGCGTCAGACTCCAAGGTGGCCTTATCGTCGCCGGCCAGCTTCTCCTCGGGCGGCTTCTCGGTTTCCACGCTGCGGCGCAGTATCTGGGTGGGCATGGGCTCGGCCGGTGAGGCCTTCGGCTGCGACTGCTGCTGTTGGGGCGAGGAGGGAATCTGCTTCTGCTGCTGCTGCAAGGAAGCCTCCTCGCTGAGACTCGGCTGACGGGCTGGACGCTGCAGGATCTTGATCTGCACCGACGAGTCGTGGCTGTGGCTGGAGGAGAAGCTCTCCTCGCGGTGGCGATGGTGCACCTTTTGCTCGGCATCCGTCTGCTCGGCCCACGAGGAAGCAGCTCCGCCCATCAGGCTGGAGTCGTCTCCGGCCGACGAGACGCTCGTCTTGCGGTGCGAGTTCTCCGAGATGCTGCGTGGCAGTGTCTGGGTCTGCCGGTAGTCCTGGCCGCGCGTGAATCGCTGCTGCTGCTGCTCTATCTCCTGATCCTCCCGAGCACTGGCGCTGTCGTGGCGGTTGCGATTGTAGCCACCACCACCGCCGCCAGCTCCACCGACGTTGGCGCCTCGCTGGGCGTAGCCACCGGAAATGCTTCGGCCCTGGCCGGCACTGGCGGGCGCTCCTCCGACACCGCCGCCGCCGCTGCCACTGACGCCGCCCTTCTGCATGTAACGGGAACTGCTGTCAAAGGCGCTGCTGGCCGAGGCGCTCTTCTCCAGGCGCGGCTGCTGCTGTTGTTGTTGCTGCTGCTGCTGGCGCTGGAAGCGGGGCGGTAAATTCGATTGGAAATGGGTGAGGAACCCGGTCTTCTGACCGTAGTCCCCGCCTCCGGTCGACGACGAGGAGGACACTCCGCCACCCGCAGCTCCCGTCGGTGTGACGCCGCTGCCCAGACTTGAAATACTGCCTCTTGGTCGACGATGTTGACCGCCGCCGCCGCCCTGGCCTCCGCCCTCGTCCTCGCTGACATTGCCCAGGGGAGCGGACGGTGGTGGTGCCTCGCTGGATGACGAGGCGGATGCCGACGAGGATGAGATTAGTCCGCCGTCAGCTCCTGCTGCCGCGGCAGCCGCTGCCTTCTTGCTGTTCATTTTCATCTCCAGCTCCTGCAGCTTCTTGGCCGCCGCCTGCTTGCGCTCCATCTCGCGGCGCTCCTCCTCCTCCTTGCGCTGCTTCACCCGCTCGTAGACACTGGCGTCCAGAGCAATGCCGCCGGCTACCGGGGCGCCCACGTTGCCGGAGCTGCCGCGATGTCCGTTCTGCTGGCGGATCTCCTGCTGCTGTGGCTGCTCCTGGACTGAATCCTGCTGGGACTGATCGCGCTCGCTGCTGTCCTTGCCGCGCTGCCAGCTAGAGGATGAGTTGGAGCTGGAGAGCTTGCGCTGATCGTTGCCCGCCAGCTGGGACTTGCCCGGCTGCTCGTCCGGCGTGGACTCGTCGTCCGAGAAGGTCAGTTTCTTCGTATAGTCAATGTCGTCCTGCTTGGTCCAGCTGTCGTCCTTGGCGATGGCGTTCAGACGCTCTAAGTCCTCCTCGCGAATAATGGGGCGCTGCATCTGGGCCACCTCTGGCTCCACGACATAGTCCTTGTCCTTGCGCCCAGCTCCTCCGGCGGGAGCGCCACCATTAGCCTGCTGCTGCGACTGGGGCGGCGTGGGAGAGCCACCGAGACCCAGTCCCGATTGAGGGGGCGACGAGGCGGCCGGTGGACGCTTGGGAATGGCAGTGGCTGCCCGGAATCCGCTGCTGCCCATTACTGCGGGCGATGCGGAACGTGTACCCAGGATTCCGTTCTGGTAGGGAACGCTGGGAAGGGCTGTCGAGTCCGAGGAGCTGCCGCTGCCGATTCCTCCGGCCAGAATGCTGGCCGCTGTTGCCACCGACGCGGGCAGAGGTGCTCCGCTGCGCATGAACGAGGGCATCAGCGAGAGTATGGGCAGAGGTACGGCTCCGCCGCTTCCGGATCCTCCGGAGCCGCCACCAGCGCCATTACCCGCCAGCTGGTGGTGGCCCAGGCCCTGTGGGTTCAGGCCAAGGTCCGCTGCCGCTGCTGCTGCGGCCGCTGCTGCCGCCGCGGCTGCTCCCTTGGCAGCCTTCTCCTGCTGCTGCAGCCAAGCGGCCGTATCGTTCTGGGGACGCAGACTCAGTTCGCCGAGCTCCGCGGAAACGCCGCCGACGTCGTCGCTGCCATCTCTGTAGTCGCGATGAGAGTGGTGGCCACCGTACTGACGCCCGTGTCCATGGTGGTAGTCCCGATGGTGCTGATGCTGTTGGTGGTGATGCTGTTGCTGGTGGTGCTGATGATGGTTCTGCTGGTTCTGGTAATGGCCCTTGTTCGCTCCCGATCCGGAGCCTGATCCCATACCGGTTCCAGCACCCGAACCACCACCGCCGCCGCCGCCGCTGCCAACTGTGCCGTCCAGCGTCGGAAACTCGTACTGGAACTGTGGGCTCTGGTAGTGCGGCACCACTTGCTGTTGGTGTGACTGCGACTGTCGGCCAAAGTGCTGACCCGAGCCCCGCTCGTGTCCCGTGGTGATAGCTGACCATGATTTGGGACCGCCAGATGAGGAACCAGATCCTCCGCCGCCTCCGCCTAAGGAGCCGCTGGATATGCCGGAACCTCCTGATATTCCTCCTCCGCCTCCGCTACCCACCGAGTTGTTGATTAGTTTAAAGTTCTTGCCGCCGGCGTTGTTGTTATTGCTAATGTTGCTGCTGTTGTTGCTGGTATTGTTGCCGTACTTCCCGGAGGAGTTTGGGCCGAGACCGACGTTGTTGTTGTGGTGGTGTTGTTGGCTGTGGTGATGCTGGTGATGGTGTCCGCCGCCAGATGCAGCTCCTACTCCGCCCGATCCCGCACCGCCGCCGCCTGCTGTTACACCTGCTGATCCTCCGCTATGGGCAGTGGCGTTGTTATGGCTAGTGTTTGATCCTGCCGTACCAGCTCCTGCTGTTCCGCCTGCTGATCCCGATGTTACTCCTGAAACGGGAATCAACATTTAGAGCATATCTCATATAGAAGATCTTGGGAAAAACTCACCTTCGACTGAGACTAGGAGATTGTTGTTGCTGGTGGTATTGGTCTCGGCCTTCAGGGATGGCAAATTGGCTGGTGGTCGCCTAGCGGACGGCACTTTTCCCAAGATTTGCATTCCATGTTTACGGGGCACTTGATTCTTTTGTGCAGATGGTTCACTCGATTCGCCCTGAAGGTATTAGTATTAGTATTGGTGGATCTATTGGATGTCAAGACTCTTCCAGATATACACTTACTCGGCTATTCTTGTACATGCGATTTATATCCAACGCTGTAAATTTGGGCTTGGCATTTCGCTCTCCCCTACTTCCCCCCAGTGTACTCATGCTGCCAATAGATCCTCATTAGCGTTAGCTTCCTTGACGCCGCCGCCGCGCTCCTCTCTCTCTCGACACGGAGCTGCGCTGGAGGATGTGGACGTGGACGTGGACTTGGACTTGGGCTTGTAGGTGGTTTTTTCTAATTCGAAATTCGAATGTGTGTTGGAATATCGTTGGTTGCGTTAGCAGACCTTCCTACTAGCTGCTACGTTTACTTCGTCAGTCTTTCGGGGTAAGCTGGAAAAAATAATAGAAATATAATTAATATAATTTCTAGCAAGCCAGATTCGGATTTGGCTTTTTGTTTTGTTTCAGCCGGGTTATGGGTTCTTTCTTGTATGCTGCTGATACTGCTGCTTCTTCTTCTTCTTGCTCTCTCCAACCCAATGATGCCACCCCGCGCGGACGCAGGCTAACGAGAAGAGTTCTTTTTTTTTTTTTGCAGAAATCGTAAAACTTGGCGACTTGCGCGCGCATTCGTCGGCAAGATATAAAAAAATAAGTAATATTATTAACTAATATACCAATACCGATGATAAAAAGCTTTAATTTTGAATGATTTTCATCACTAAACGGTTAAAATATAATTTTAAAAATATATATACTCTTTATTTTTATTAATAATATATATTTTTTATTTTATTATTTAACCTATTTTTTTAAAATTTATTTATTTAATTTCTTTTCACTTTTCTTCGCGATGAAAATAGCTTTTTTTTTTTTTTGTTCTTCTTTTCATCTCAAAAGTTGGCAACACTGGTTGGCAGGGAACAATGGCCGACAACTATAGCAGAAAAATCAGCAACAACAACGGGGGCAGTAAAAAATCCTCCCAACAACAACAACAACAATGCGACTGCTTAAAAGCATTTAAAATGTAAGCAATTTCGGTTGCTTCTAGAGGTTGGTTGGGTGCTGTGTAAGACAATGTAAATGCTTGGCAACAATTAGTTTTTTTTTTTCTTTTTATAAAAAAAAAAAAAAAGGGTGAAAAAAAAATAAAACAAAAACCATTCACAAGCAGACACACGTACACACACACACACGAACGCACACACACACACACACCAAAGCGCACCCACAGAGCGACGCTGAGGATGGGTTGGCTTTGTTAGTTATTATTTAATCGGTGTGTCCAATTCTTGGTAAGATCCTTTATATTTTGGTTTTCACAAGATCCGATCCAAGACTTAAATTGATATAGAATTTACCGTTTAAACACCGCACACGCACACGAACACACACACACACACACGCATACACAAACCGACACATGCACTGGGGGTTTTGGTTTGTTAGAGGAACTCTGGGCGAAAATGAGGACTAAGAAACTAACTGGCTTGAGAAATTCAGCAATTCGTTTGCTTCGGAGTCGTTCCACACGATACGGTAGTGCTCGGTAGCCAGTTCGAGTTATAATGAAAAGCGGTTAAATGGTTACTTTGCACAAAACTTTTAATTTCGTCCAACACGAAGTTTGCCGCTGCTTCTTCTTAGCCGAGTTCTTCCTCTTCACTGTGACTCTTTTCGCATGTATTGCGTGCGTGAGTGAGTGTCAAAAGCGGCGTTGCCACCTAATCAAATAAATCGTGCGGTGGGTGGCGTGCGGTGGGCGGTACAAGCGCACCTGGCAATAAATAAATCGTTCCAAGCACTGCTGGCGACGCACCTTTGTTTGTTTGCCAATAGCATACGAACTGCACGGACAGTCCGGGAATATTGCTAAGAATGAAAGCTTAGAACCTTCCCCCGACCAATGGATCTTAAAGTCCAAATGGATTCGCTTTCGTGCCAGGTGTTCTTGGGAACGGCACCGGAAACATGATCGCCGGCCGTATTAGCTAGAACCTTGTATCCATGCAAGTGACCACATTTTCAGAGCCAAGAATTTAGCCCGAATCCGCGCCAGATTTCAGCGGCTTGAATTGCCACTAAAATTGCACTGTTTCTGCATTTTATTCCAGAATAGTGGCAGCCCACAGACCCACAGTAGGGACTCTAAGCCATATCCATAACCAGTATTACAAAAAAAAATAAATGCATCCCATGACACAGATGGATTTAACAAAAAAATAACAATATTCGATGGATTTGATGAATCGAATTGAATGGACGGACGGCATTTGGTAATGTGTTTTTGTCCCTTTTCATTTTTCAAAATGGCGATTACTTTGTTGTCTCGCTCGCTCGCTCACCCTCTCTCTCTTTCACGCGTCGCGGTTAACGAACTCTAAAATTTATTATTATTATTATTATTAGTACTAAATTTGATGAGAAAATGTTGCCAATGAATGAACAATTGCAAAATCAAAAATATTTAGTAGAGACCATAAATACATACAATGCACAAATTCTAATAAGGTGTGGAAATGGGCATCGGATCGGAGGAGGTTCCTCGAATCACTTGAATCGCTTTTCACACGGCTTTTTCTGGCGATTTTCACTCACACACACGCGCTCTTTCGATTAGCTTGGCAATTGGCTTAGCTTTTCACTATTTTTGTGGCGTTCTTTTCACGTAATACGTAATTGTCCATTAGTTTAAAATCGTATGTATTATTTTTTTGCCATTTTGCGGCAAGCGTTGCCAGATATGATTGCGTGATGTTAGGGTGGCCAGACTGTTTATGCATGCGAATATCGGTATCGAGGGATGGCAAACAACTTCTATATCCAATTTGAATGATATGTAACATCAATGAAGATAAAATTGAATCTAATATATATCCTATTATAAGATAATTATAAGATTTTATTTGATTATGATTCTAATAAGTATCCCATGGCTATCGATTTTCTTTATCGATATTGTCTTGTGTCTAGCTATCTGTCAGCTCACATCACTAATTATGTTGTTTACAGCGCAGCAGCTGAAAGTTGCATTTATTTCAATTTAATAGAGAATTGGCTCCACCAAGATGATCTGCCGCCTCTGCCTGCGCAGCCTGAGCCCCGGCACCGCTGTTTTTCTCTTCGAAACGAACGAGACTCTGGCGGAGACGCGCCTGGTGAAGATTATCGCCAAGTTTCTCCAAATGGAAGTGAGCGAAGGCCTATAAAAACCCATTTGCCAGTTCAAACCGACTAAATTCCCACTCTTTCAGATCCTTCCCGATGATGGAATCTCGACCAGCGTATGCACAGAGTGCTGCGAGCACCTCGAGGACTTTCATAGCTTTTGGCAGCTGGTGGAGCAGAAACAGAGCACTATCATGAATGAGGAGTTTATATCCGTGGATGTGGACTGCGGGGACCTTAAGTGGACAGGCGGCGTGGACGTGAATCTGGACGAGCTGGCATTGCCTGTGGGGGACGTCGATGAGAAGCCTCTGGACATGCACAACCTTAGTTTGCTGGGCAGCGTACTTGATGTGAATGTCGACAGTGTGGAAGTAACGTCTGCCAAGAAGCAGCCCCAGGAGGAGGAGAAGCCACTGGTGCAGAAAAGTGATAATAGCGATTCGGAGCCCGAGCCGACATCGTTCCCCGCCGACGATTCATCATCCGATGGTAATTATCTAGCTTCTTTAGAAGTCTTCCACTTAAAATCTTATCTTTCATTTGTTTATTGTTTCAAAGACGAGCCACTAGTCCGTCTAAAGGCAAAAATGAAGCCGAAGCGCAAGGTACGGTCCAAGGTAAAGCGCACGGTTTCACTGCAGCAGGAGCTTCAAGATCTACTAACCGATGGCAGCAAGCGGCGCACGAAGCGGTCCTCCGAGCCCACCGAGATGCAGGAAACGGAGCTTCAAGCGGTGCTCGAACGCAAACCCAAGGGCTGTTCCCGCGCCCAGCTGTCCAAGCGCTACGAAGAAGCTATCGCCAGCTACATGAGCGCCAATTGCGATCTGTGCGAATTTAGCGCCCAGTACCTGTCCGACCTGAAACAGCATTTCCAGGAGGTGCACCAGCGCGAATATTATATCAAATGCTGTGGCAAGTCCTTCGCACGAGCGTCCACGCTAATGGATCACATCCGGAAGCATGTCAACCCCAAGCTCTATACGTAAGTTCCCTAATCCCATCAAGTATGTAATCATGACAATCTAATTTATTATTTCAATCTTTTAGATGCACCATCTGCCAGAAATCTCTCAACTCACAAGACTACCTTGCCACCCACATGGAGACGGTGCACAACAAGGTGGCCCAGGTGCTGAAGTTCCCCTGCGCCAAGTGCGATCGCACTTTCAGCAGCGAGCGCCGTCTGGCCAATCACCTGGCCAAGCACGATTCTGACCAGTTGGAACACACCTGCGAAATCTGCTGCAAGAGGTAAGTGTTATCCTTCATTATATCACCTTGTAATGCTATCTCTTTCTAATCCGTATGGTTTGAATTTTGTTGCCAGCTTTGCGAATGTACACCGTCTGCGACGACACATACAATCTATCCACGAAGACCTGCATCGCCACGTGTGCGACATCTGCGGCAAGAAGTTCAAGTTCAAGCCCTCCTTCGACCGTCACCTGCTGGAGCATCAGGGCGTGGTGGCGCCCGCCATGGAGTGCTCTGTGTGCGGCGTATGGCTGAAGAACGAGCATAGCCTGCGACTGCATCGTTTCACCCACGATAGCACGGATACGGTGTGTCCGCACTGCGGCAAGACCTGTTCGTCACGCACAGCGCTACGTGGTCACATCAAGTACGCCCACAAGCTGACGACGAATCTGCAGTGCACCTACTGCGAGAAGACGTTCAAGCAACAGCGCAACCTAGAGGAGCACATGGCCATACACACGGGCCTCCAGCTCTACAACTGCCCGCACTGTCCCAAGGAGTGTCGATCCCGCTCCAATATGTACGTGCACATCAAACAACGGCACGCGGACGAGTGGCTGCGCGCCAAAATGGCCCGTTCGCACAATCCGCAATTCAAGCCCGGTCCGGAGGCAACTGCCGTACAATCGTGATTCCTGTCAACGAGCTTCATGCTGAATTGAATCTTTTCCTTCTACCTTTATGGTGTTTTCCTTTATTTGGATGATGATAACTTTGTTTTAACAAAAAAAAAAAAATCCATGCAAATCCTAAATGAATCACTATTGTATCTGAGTATCTAAATTAAGAATTTCCATATGGTTTTAAACCACGAGGTACTTTGTTTTTATTTCTGTTTTCTCCCTATGGTTAGACAGATGTTTTAATATGATTATAAACTAATATTAATCTATAATATATAATTATTATATAACTAAATTATTATTTAAATACTTAGTCCCAGTAGCTCCCTCCCCAAATCAAAACACCAGCGGGTTCCCCATAAGATTCGACTATATTTTAAGTGCCATTGGTGTGTGTGCGTGTTGTCGGCTTAGTTTGGCAGCATGCTGGCCAGGGAGGCGATGACTGCCTTGGAGAGGCTCTCCGGGAACTTGATAGAGAAGCTGAGGACGATGGCACCGCGGCGTGATGGTTCCTTCGGGCACGGTAGGCCCCTACCCTGGAAGCGGTGCGACGAGTTCGGCTTTATGATCTCGCCCTGCGTGTTGAAGCTCAGTGGCTCGCCCTGGAGAGTCGGCACCTGCAGTTCGACGCCGCACAGGGCCTGCTTGAGAGAGATCTGGGCGGTGTAATGTAGATCGCTGCCCTCGCGCCGGAAGATCGGATGTGGCTTGTCCCGAATGATGAAGACGATGTCGGCGGGTATACGGTTCGGCAACTGGTCACCCTCTTTGCGGAAGATGACCTTGGTGCCTGACTTCCAGCCGGGTCGTACCTCAAAGTTCAGCACCTTGTTCTCCTTCCGAGCCACGCCGCTGGACGAAATCGAGAGCCGGGATATCTTCATGCGCTTCGTACACCCGTTGGCAATGTCCTCCAGACAAACGGGCAGCTCGTGCTCAATGGGGGGATCCTGTTGCATGCGTCCGCAGCGTCCCAGCGGAAAATCGTCGTCGCTCATGAAGACGTGCTCCATCTCGTCGAAGAACATGGTGAACGGATCCATGGAACCGAAAAACTGGGCAAAGGTGGCGCGCGGATCTCCATGGAACTGATAGCTGTAGCTTCCCTGTCCGCTTCCCAGACCACTGCTGCCGCTGCTCTGTCCTCCGCTGTGATGGCTGTGATGGTCCGAGCATCCGTGCCGGAGACCCTCTTCTCCATACTTGTCGTACAGGTCACGTTTCTTCTTGTCGGAGAGAACCTCATACGCCTCAGCCACCTCCTTGAAGCGTTCCTCGGCATGGCTGTGCCGGTTCTTGTCCGGATGATAGCGAAGGGCCAGTTTCCGGTATGCCTTTTTTACCTCATCGTCGCTTGCCCCGCGACCGATCCCTAGAATCTTGTAAAAGTCCTTCGTCATAACGGAAGTTGCAAACTCTTCTTGTTTTATCTGCAGGTGAAGGGTTGTCAATATTTAAAGAAAATGCTACTTTGTTTCCTGATCAGGAAAGTTTTGTGGGGGAAAACGATAGAACGATAGTTAAAAACGATATTTAAGCAATATTTTGAATGAGGAAAGTCGCTTTTGGGTTTCCGTTAAATTTCCCCACTTTTGCTCCTTCCGATGGCCGTAGCTCTCTCAATTTGTATCCGATCGCGAAATAAGGTACCATTTCGTAATCAGCGAACCCAAAAGCGACTTTCCTCATTCAAAATATTGCTTAAATATCGTTTTTAAATTTTTCGAAATTTTTCCTAGGGGTACCCCTGCAAAAATGTGGATTTTCACAATTTCCCCACTTTTGCTCCTTCCGATGGCCGTAGCTCTCTCAATTTGTATCCGATCGCGAAATTAGGTACCATTTCGTAATCAGCGAACCCAAAAGCGACTTTCCTCATTCAAAATATTGCTTAAATATCGTTTTTAAATTTTTCGAAATTTTTCCTAGGGGTACCCCTGCAAAAATGTACATTTTCGCAATTTCCCCACTTTTGCTCCTTCCGATGGCCGGTAGCTCTCTCAATTTGTATCCGATCGCGAAATAAGGTACCATTTCGTAATCAGCGAACCCAAAAGCGACTTTCCTCATTCAAAATATTGCTTAAATATCGTTATTAACTTTTTCGAAATTTTTCCTAGGGGTACCCCTGCAAAAATGTGGATTTTCGCAATTTCCCCACTTTTGCTCCTTCCGATGGCCGTAGCTCTCTCAATTTGTATCCGATCGCGAAATAAGGTACCATTTCGTAATCAGCGAACCCAAAAGCGACTTTCCTCATTCAAAATATTGCTTAAATATCGTTTTTAAATTTTTCGAAATTTTTCCTAGGGGTACCCCTGCAAAAATGTGGATTTTCGCAATTTCCCCACTTTTGCTCCTTCCGATGGCCGTAGCTCTCTCAATTTGTATCCGATCGCGAAATAAGGTACCATTTCGTAATCAGCGAACCCAAAAGCGACTTTTCTCATTCAAAATATTGCTTAAATATCGTTTTTAAATTTTTCGAAACTTTTCCTAGGGGTACCCCTGCAAAAATGTGGATTTTCGCAATTTCCCCACTTTTGCTCCTTCCGATGGCCGTAGCTCTCTCAATTTGTATCCGATCGCGAAATAAGGTACCATTTCGTAATCAGCGAACCCAAAAGCGACTTTTCTCATTCAAAATATTGCTTAAATATCGTTTTTAAATTTTTCGAAACTTTTCCTAGGGGTACCCCTGCAAAAATGTGGATTTTCGCAATTTCCCCACTTTTGCTCCTTCCGATGGCCGTAGCTCTCTCAATTTGTATCCGATCGCGAAATAAGGTACCATTTCGTAATCAGCGAACCCTAAAGCGACTTTCCTCATTCAAAATATTGCTTAAATATCGTTTTTAAATTTTTCGAAATTTTTCCTAGGGGTACCCCTGCAAAAATGTGGATTTTCGCAATTTCCCCACTTTTGCTCCTTCCGATGGCCGTAGCTCTCTCAATTTGTATCCGATCGCGAAATAAGGTACCATTTCGTAATCAGCGAACCCAAAAGCGACTTTTCTCATTCAAAATATTGCTTAAATATCGTTTTTAAATTTTTCGAAACTTTTCCTAGGGGTACCCCTGCAAAAATGTGGATTTTCGCAATTTCCCCACTTTTGCTCCTTCCGATGGCCGTAGCTCTCTCAATTTGTATCCGATCGCGAAATAAGGTACCATTTCGTAATCAGCGAACCCTAAAGCGACTTTCCTCATTCAAAATATTGCTTAAATATCGTTTTTAAATTTTTCGAAATTTTTCCTAGGGGTACCCCTGCAAAAATGTGGATTTTCGCAATTTCCCCACTTTTGCTCCTTCCGATGGCCGTAGCTCTCTCAATTTGTATCCGATCGCGAAATAAGGTACCATTTCGTAATCAGCGAACCCTAAAGCGACTTTCCTCATTCAAAATATTGCTTAAATATCGTTTTTAAATTTTTCGAAATTTTTCCTAGGGGTACCCCTGCAAAAATGTGGATTTTCGCAATTTCCCCACTTTTGCTCCTTCCGATGGCCGTAGCTCTCTCAATTTGTATCCGATCGCGAAATTAGGTACCATTTCGTAATCAGCGAACCCAAAAGCGACTTTCCTCATTCAAAATATTGCTTAAATATCGTTTTTAAGTTTTTCGAAATTTTTCCTAGGGGTACCCCTGCAAAAATGTGGATTTTCGCAATTTCCCCACTTTTGCTCCTTCCGATGGCCGTAGCTCTCTCAATTTGTATCCGATCGCGAAATAAGGTACCATTTCGTAATCAGCGAACCCAAAAGCGACTTTTCTCATTCAAAATATTGCTTAAATATCGTTTTTAAATTTTTCGAAACTTTTCCTAGGGGTACCCCTGCAAAAATGTGGATTTTCGCAATTTCCCCACTTTTGCTCCTTCCGATGGCCGTAGCTCTCTCAATTTGTATCCCATCGCGAAATAAGGTACCATTTCGTAATCAGCGAACCCTAAAGCGACTTTCCTCATTCAAAATATTGCTTAAATATCGTTTTTAAATTTTTCGAAATTTTTCCTAGGGGTACCCCTGCAAAAATGTGGATTTTCGCAATTTCCCCACTTTTGCTCCTTCCGATGGCCGTAGCTCTCTCAATTTGTATCCGATCGCGAAATAAGGTACCATTTCGTAATCAGCGAACCCAAAAGCGACTTTTCTCATTCAAAATATTGCTTAAATATCGTTTTTAAATTTTTCGAAACTTTTCCTAGGGGTACCCCTGCAAAAATGTGGATTTTCGCAATTTCCCCACTTTTGCTCCTTCCGATGGCCGTAGCTCTCTCAATTTGTATCCGATCGCGAAATAAGGTACCATTTCGTAATCAGCGAACCCTAAAGCGACTTTCCTCATTCAAAATATTGCTTAAATATCGTTTTTAAATTTTTCGAAATTTTTCCTAGGGGTACCCCTGCAAAAATGTGGATTTTCGCAATTTCCCCACTTTTGCTCCTTCCGATGGCCGTAGCTCTCTCAATTTGTATCCGATCGCGAAATTAGGTACCATTTCGTAATCAGCGAACCCAAAAGCGACTTTCCTCATTCAAAATATTGCTTAAATATCGTTTTTAAGTTTTTCGAAATTTTTCCTAGGGGTACCCCTGCAAAAATGTGGATTTTCGCAATTTCCCCACTTTTGCTCCTTCCGATGGCCGTAGCTCTCTCAATTTGTATCCGATCGCGAAATAAGGTACCATTTCGTAATCAGCGAACCCAAAAGCGACTTTTCTCATTCAAAATATTGCTTAAATATCGTTTTTAAATTTTTCGAAATTTTTCCTAGGGGTACCCCTGCAAAAATGTGGATTTTCGCAATTTCCCCACTTTTGCTCCTTCCGATGGCCGTAGCTCTCTCAATTTGTATCCGATCGCGAAATAAGGTACCATTTCGTAATCAGCGAACCCAAAAGCGACTTTTCTCATTCAAAATATTGCTTAAATATCGTTTTTAAATTTTTCGAAATTTTTCCTAGGGGTACCCCTGCAAAAATGTGGATTTTCGCAATTTCCCCTCTTTTGCTCCTTCCGATGGCCGTAGCTCTCTCAATTTGTATCCGATCGCGAAATTAGGTACCATTTCGTAATCAGCGAACCCAAAAGCGACTTTCCTCATTCAAAATATTGCTTAAATATCGTTTTTAAATTTTTCGAAATTTTTCCTAGGGTACCCCTGCAAAAATGTGGATTTTTGCAATTTCCCCACTTTTGCTCCTTCCGATGGCCGTAGCTTTCTCAATTTGTATCCGATCGCAAAATAAGGTACCATTTCGTAATCAGCGAACCCAAAAGCGACTTTCCTCATTCAAAATATTGCTTAAATATCGTTTTTAAATTTTTCGAAATTTTTCCTAGGGGTACCCCTGCAAAAATGTGGATTTTCGCAATTTCCCCACTTTTGCTCCTTCCGATGGCCGTAGCTCTCTCAATTTGTATCCGATCGCGAAATAAGGTACCATTTCGTAATCAGCGAACCCAAAAGCGACTTTTCTCATTCAAAATATTGCTTAAATATCGTTTTTAAATTTTTCGAAATTTTTCCTAGGGGTACCCCTGCAAAAATGTGGATTTTCGCAATTTCCCCACTTTTGCTCCTTCCGATGGCCGTAGCTCTCTCAATTTGTATCCGATCGCGAAATAAGGTACCATTTCGTAATCAGCGAACCCAAAAGCGACTTTCCTCATTCAAAATATTGCTTAAATATCGTTTTTAAATTTTTCGAAATTTTTCCTAGGGGTACCCCTGCAAAAATGTGGATTTTCGCAATTTCCCCACTTTTGCTCCTTCCGATGGCCGTAGCTCTCTCAATTTGTATCCGATCGCGAAATTAGGTACCATTTCGTAATCAGCGAACCCAAAAGCGACTTTCCTCATTCAAAATATTGCTTAAATATCGTTTTTAAATTTTTCGAAATTTTTCCTAGGGGTACCCCTGCAAAAATGTGGATTTTCGCAATTTCCCCACTTTTGCTCCTTCCGATGGCCGTAGCTCTCTCAATTTGTATCCGATCGCGAAATAAGGTACCATTTCGTAATCAGCGAACCCAAAAGCGACTTTTCTCATTCAAAATATTGCTTAAATATCGTTTTTAAATTTTTCGAAATTTTTCCTAGGGGTACCCCTGCAAAAATGTGGATTTTCGCAATTTCCCCACTTTTGCTCCTTCCGATGGCCGTAGCTCTCTCAATTTGTATCCGATCGCGAAATAAGGTACCATTTCGTAATCAGCGAACCCAAAAGCGACTTTTCTCATTCAAAATATTGCTTAAATATCGTTTTTAAATTTTTCGAAATTTTTCCTAGGGGTACCCCTGCAAAAATGTGCAGTTTCGCAATTTCCCCACTTTTGCTCCTTCCGATGGCCGTAGCTCTCTCAATTTGTATCCGATCGCGAAATTAGGTACCATTTCGTAATCAGCGAACCCAAAA